GGCGGCATCTGGGCGGACTCGGGGAGCGTGGAGCGCTCGGCTCCGCGGCGGTGCCGAGCCCGCCGGAGGCGGCAGGATCCGAAGGTCTGAAACCATCTGGGAGCACAGCGAGCCCTGTGCGGGGCTGACCGAGGAATACCAAATACGGCCCTGTGCAGCAGGGGCCCGGGGGCAGCGGGCAGCGTTTCTGTCGCGCTGATGCCTGCAGGGATTTCTTGGCTTTGCTCCGGGAAACGCTGCCACTGACGAGGGCAGAGCTGCCCCACAGGGAGCGATGGTGCCCCAGCCACCAATGCTCGAGTATTGTCAGGGCAAAGTGGCCGCTCGAGGTGAAGAGGGAATTCACGCCTCTGCCCAAGGTCCCCGGAGTCCCCCTAAGGGCTGTCTGAGAATTAGAGCAGTCTGTAACCAGGTCACTAAACTAAAGGTGACTTTTCTAAGAAATACTGTTTCTTTGCGCTGATTGTCGGTTTTGTGGGTGTGGTGTCAATGGAAGTATCCCATTATGTATCCTGGATGTGATTTTCAGCAGCAAAATACAGGTACCTTAAAAGAAGTGGCTTGAGAGTCTTGCCTCTTTACAGTCTTTTCATTTCAGATGCACTATACTTGCAAAACCTGAATAGCTATAAATACCATACTTGCTGCTGAAATATCTGTGGCTAGCAGATTTCACATAAGTACCACATATTCCCCAAAATATTTGCTTTCTTTCAACAGTGGACATGAAGAGCAGTTTCTCACAAAAATATGTATGGCTAAGTTCATCAGATGCTCACAATAGAGCTTTCATTCCATCTCCAGCCACACTACTTGCCAATTAACTGGCCTCAGTAATTTGTAACTGTGAAACAAACAGTATTCAGGCAACGGATTACTACAAGCAAATTGCTGGCTATGATAGATGTTGGACATTCCTCAACATTTTTCTCTGAAAACCAATGTAACTGAAAGGACTTCAGGTTTTATGAAATGTAATTTTATCAGCCTAATCCTCAGCTAGCAGCAGGGGACACTCTCCTGTGTTCTGACAGAATTTGGACAGCATCTCCAGGTCATACGCTGTTGACCCTGGTGGGAGGAGAGGCTGGTGACTACCGTGGAAGGAAACAGGCTGACTCTCTTCTGAGGCAAAGTCCAAGGTTTATTGAATGCTCCTGAGGAACCGTGAACCTTAGCAGAGCAACGAGACAAGAGCCCCAAGGGGCAGGGAGCAACAGTTTATAAACCGAGGAGGAGACAAGGGAGGGGATCACCCCAAGACCAATGAGGGATTTCAGGGGAGACAGAAGGATACCCGATGGGGAAGGCAGGCAGGAGGGATCCCACACCCAATCACTCCACGCCCATGTGGAAGGTTCTAGATAGGTGGGATGGGGAGTCGAGTGATGGAGAAGGTACCAGGGAGGGTACAGGGGAATGATTCAGTACTTTTCTGCTGATTGACTCCAGAGGGGGAAGGGGATTAACATGTAAGAAAAGGGGCAGTTAAGGGTAAGACCATTGGGGAAAATAGGGTGTACAGGAACAAAGCATTGCAGAAATAACACAAGGTATAAACCACAATACAGCACGTTCCAATGTGCAGCAGGGATGTGGAGTCACTTGGGTGGTGCACAGGATGCTGTCCAAAGGTACACAGTCATGTTCATATGGCAAACCTTTTTGTTTAAAAGAGGGTTTCTCACTCTGCTGATACTTTTGATGCCTGGTCCTTTACTCTGCTGTTAGATTCTCCGTTTTGATTCCATGGTAACCAATGTATTCCCCCATGCCAATAAACCTGGATAAATATAATACTGAATTAATCATTAGAGACCCATTTTTATTTATGATAAGAACCTTTTTACCCGGGAAAACTAATGAGCATAATTGTAGCAGAATAATTTATACTGCTATAGCTTTGCTGATGTAACATCCCAGGTAGATATTTTAATTGGGTTTAATTATTCCATTTCCCTGTATAGATGAGTCCTATACAGATAAATCCCATTTTATAGTTAGCAGTCAAAACAAATTACATTTCATAATTACATTTACACCAAGTTTAAGGCATTCCTAGGATGGGCAGGAAATATAATGGGGCCATAGTGTAATTGAGAGTGCAACCTTAAAATCCTGTGTGTGACAAGTATATTCAAATTGCCATCTGCTATATTTTTATTCCTTCTATTCCAAAACAACAAAAAGCATTAAGTCCGTTTAAAATAAAATGTTTTGAAGGTCTAGCACCAAATTATGTACATCGATACATGCAGGCTAAGGAAACAAATGCAATTTGTCATATTTAAGCAGAACTGTGCCCAGTCTGTAGGTAACATCTTCCAGTGCCAGATTCAGCACTGTTGTAATCAGGCATCCTGGGGACTTTGTGGTACAAAAGGAAATTTGACTTCATGATATCAAGTCTAAATTTGGCTCCTCAATGTTTAGAACACTCCTGAAGGCATGATGCTCCAAACAATTAATCTTGCATAATATGGAATAAATGCGTATAGGACACACTGGCTCAGTTCTTATGAATCCGTTGTCACTGGCATATTTTGTCCATAAAAAGATGCTTTTCTACAATTGGCAGCAGTCCTGTTAAAAAGCATCTTTGAGCTGTAGAAATACAAAAGACTGTACTTTATTTCCAGTCCCTATTTCCCTCTCTTTCTGGCCATTGTCCACCCACTTGTCCTTCCCCCATGAAAAAAAAAAAAATCCCTTACCCTTAGTTTAGACTGGGGAGTTTGGCAAGTGTTTCCTTCTCAGTTCTTAACCCTTTTGGTAGTTTGAAAACAAAGTCCTGAAGCAGTGTGAAATTAACTTATATGCATAACATTTGAAGTGACGGCACAAATTCCCAGTGGAATGAAGGGCTATTCACTCCAGTGAGAATGGGCAAATAGATTTGTGGCAGAACAATGTGCTTTTCTCAACACTCTCTCGCCTCCATTCCAATGGATGGGACGGGGCCTCCCTGGCGATGCTTGCGCACCACCACCACCCGTTATGACCCTTTAAAATAAAACCGCACCAAACCAACCCCAAACAAAACCTGCCTCTTTTTTTCTCCATGTGCTTCCAGCTGGGTGAGGTATTTAGCCTGTTAGTGCACGGAGTTTCTGTGATTTGCTAACAGGTGGTTGTGCTTCTGCACCGTCCCTCCAGCTGAAGTGAGAGCAATTGTCTCTGGGTGTGCCTCAGCAAAACTGCTGCCTGAGGAATTGTTTTCTGTGCTCTATGGAGAAAGGTGCCTGTCCAATTCCTTGTCTAGAAAGCAATGTTAAAGCATCTCTGCAGGCTGCAGCAGGCGTGACTGACAGCAGGGCCAGCAAGACCAAAGGACATGGTCTGCATATTTATGTGCATGAATTTCCTGACCCAGTGGTGGACTCCTTGCTCTGATCCTCCATGGATGTGTTTGGGAAGGGCTCACACAACACCCCACAGCACACAGTTTGCCTTACCACTAGCAGAGTGTGTTTTTAGTACTGTTGGATACACTGAGGAAATTTTGGGGGAAGGATGCTCTATAACCATGTCTGTTATGCAAAAATGATTACAATTAGGAATATATTATAAAGATGGATTATTCTTGTTTCCCACTCTTTGCATACAGTATAATGAAAAACAATCTGTGTTGTCACCTCATAAAATGTCTATCATAATATTTTGATTTAAATCATAAACAAGCTTAGCCAAGAATAATATACATACAGTTGCATGGTATATTGTATTTTTTAAATATATCTACCAGTCCTATTAAAGATGACACACTTAAATCTTGTTTCAATTAAGGACTATCCCTTTAAGGAGAAATATGAGTGTCTGACTCCTTCTGCATTGCAAAGTACAACTAAAAAATTGGTTCTCTTGCTCACAGAGTGGTCAAGCCCAGAAAAGTTCCAGACCTCAGGCTTTTTGTCACAAAAGAGTAATGCAGTTACTGACAACAATCACTCTCCAGCATTGTGTTTCACACCCATGATCAGGAGTACATATCATCCAATCTGCAGTACAACTGTGATTCCTGTTGTCTCAGCCAAGAGATTTAAAACTCACAACCAGCTTAGTAAATTCCTTGTACATTTCTGGCAGACAAAAAATAATAGGTGAGGAAATGGTAGATTTTCCAGTTAGATCTGTCTCCACTTACCTCATTGGCAAAGAGAACAGAAAACTTCAGGGTTCCTCGCAGAAGCATATTTGCAATACAATGCTTCCCTGTTTTCTTTCTGTTCTGCTTCCCTTTACTGTAGTCTCTTGCTCTCCTTCTGTATGCTTGTTTTCTTGCTTTTCTTCTTCTTTAACTATTTATTTGCATTTTTAAGTGTGATATTTTACACTAATAAATACAAAATGTTTCGACAGATGCACAATTTGCATACTTTTTTCTAAAACTACAGCCTTTCTAGGCACAAGCATTATATATCTGAGATGAGAAGAAAGAACGCAGGAAGGCAAGAAGGAGAAAAGTGAAGGGAACGGGTGGAGAAGAGATGAAAAAGAGAACAAGTGAGTGAAGGCTTGTTACGGTACCATGACATTTTAAAAGCAGCTGTGTGGTCAGAAGCTAGAGAGAAGAGAAGAAACCCAAAGGACCATGCCCTGGTCTGTAGCTGGGGAGTAGCTGGTGCAGAGAGGGAGGATGCTAAGTGATGTCACTCACCCTGGGGCTGCTCCCTGGCTAAAACTATTAGCCAGAACTGAGGTTGTTGCCAGTCTGCTTGCTGCAAGTTGGACATCCCTACAGGGCAGTTCCCTGCCCTTGGCATTGGTCTCTCCAGTGGCCAAACACACCTCCAGGCACACCTGCACAGCCTGGCTGACTTCCTTGCACCAGGGAGAGACCCTGACCTGCTTCATCCAGACCCTGTGGTATAGTGGTGGAGGAGGGATGATTATCCAAGATGGTCCTGGTCCAGCTCTGTAGGAGGATAATTGCTATGTTACAGAGGATTCTCTCACAGCTAGAGATAGCCAAAATCAGTCTTCTTTTCTTAAGTGTCTAAAAGAAGAAAGATTACTTCCAAAAAAGAAATATATATCTCAATGAGGTCACAATTTTATAGTGCATACTTACATTTTGCAATGATATTCTCATTTCGCCAATTCACTGACATGATCTCAGCCCCTGCAGGAGGTTGGTTCCTGATTCAAGGAAAAGGAAAAGAGAGTTTTAACATTCATTTTAATGCAAACATTTATTCATTTTTAGTATCTGCACTGTTTCACTAGCTTCACTTAATTATGGGAGTAGAAGCAGGTTTAGAATTCCCTGGAGGAGCTTGCTCTTTTTTCTTTTTAGACTTACTCTCTTCATCTTCTCAACTGCTCCTCCTTTAGTCTTTTCATTTTTCTTGAGAATGCTTATTCTTACCCTTAGAAATGAGCACATCTTGGCAAGGATTTAAGTACTAAAAAATGTGTAAACTTTGTTTTTTTTTTCTTTTGCCTCATCTTTTCCTCTGTGGATTGGTAGTTAAATGCAGCAGGTTTCCCACTGTGTGATGAGTAGAGTGCATGAACCCAAAGGTTATGCCTGGCTGTGCCTTAGGGATACAGCTTGCAGATGTAGTGTATGAAAGATGCATCAAGGTAAACTCACAAGATAACTGTAGTAACATGCTGTATTCCTGCTGCTTACATCCGTGTTTGATTCTTCAAACCATCTTCTGTCAATTCAAAAACCAGCATAAAATTGAAACATAGCATGGTTCAGTAATAAAAGGTCACATTGTTATACCTGTAGGTTTCTACTGTATGAAGCCTGTGCACATTGCATTTTCTGTTCTGCCTTTTTTATCTACAAAAATTGATGTTGGCCTGAAACGAAGTGAAGGTTTTAGTCTCTGAATGATTTTTGAGCACAGATCACAGATCAAATATTTTAAAACTCTGAGTGGCAAAGAGGAGCACATATTAATTTTAGACAACTTTTACACTTTACTTTTATGCTTTTACATATGTAATTGAATTCTGAATTTCCCCTTCTAGTTTCAGTGTGAAAAGGGTAGCCCAGAATGCACCTACACACTTTTTGATTCTTTCAGAAAAAAAAAAAAAACAAAAACCTGAAGGAACCTTATGAAACTTTAAAAACAAGTCTCTGTGCACAAAGAATTCTTCATTTCTCTGCATCTTTTTAATAGACACTGTTATAGGCAGACCAGAAACCTCAAAAACTCTGTTTTAACCTGAGATCTGTCCCAAGGTGAGTCTTGACAAGAGAAGCAACACTGGTACACACAAAGGCATTGCTGAGGCTGGAGTCTTAATCTATGTAAATATCTTACACCTCTTTAAATATTCCCATATACCAGAGAAAGCTGCAATTATGAGGAAGCAAAAAGCATTATGCCTGTAATGAAAAAAAGGTTCCTTTATTAATAATAACTACACTTAAATTGCAATTATGTAACTATTTTATGAAGAAATCACCTCCTGATCAAAATTGTTATGTAACAAGCTCAAAATCTGAGTAGATTAATAGCACATAATAGTGGATTTTTTTTATTCGGTCATCCAGGGAAAAATGTAATTTCAGTTGTGCCAAAAAAAAAGTTGCTCAATTGTTTGGCTTTTATAACATTGCTGACCCCTTCAAATTAGGTCAGTTTTTAAACAAAAGCATAATTTAAATGTGAAGTATCAGTGTTTCATTTCAGAAATATTTACTGTTTCCTTGTTGCAGTCCTCCAGAATGAGACATTCTGCAAGTTTCTGGAAGCTGTCCCAAATTCACAAATGTTTTCAGATTCTGAAAAAATGAGGTTTGGATTTTTAATATTTTAGCTGGTGGGGGTGGAGGGTGGAGTAAGGGTACACCTACACCTTATTTAAGGGTTCATGAGGCCTGAGGTTTTTGTCCTTTAATTTATAGTAATCCATTCAGAAAGGATTAAGTAATCCAAATCAGCCTATCCTGTAACAGAAATACAAAAGTCCTCTTTCCAACTTACATGAAATATATCAATTTAAAGGAATATACTTCATGAGGTGTACAGTAACTGAAACACCTGACATTCTTCTAATGTCATCCTCTGTAAGATATGATCCAGGAGGAATAGAGGCTTGACTGGTAGAACACACTCCTATGTGACTTTAGGAATGAGAGGAACCCAATTAAAAGAAAACTCACTCTAAGTGACATGTAGATGCAAATACCTTGAGAAACACAGGCTGTAAAACATATTTCTCCTGCCCACAAACTCACACCTGCTAATGCCTCGTGAAATTAGTTACATCCTCAGTACTATTCTTCAACAGCAAGTTTTAAGGCCTAATTATATATTTAATTATTTCTGTTTTGTCAGTTGCTTTACATCCAGGCACATTCAGCGGCATGTCATATGGGATCAATTCTTCAACAGTGATTTTATTATAGTTTCTATGTAATGTCACTTTGGTATATCCACCCTGTTCCCACCCCTGAGCATATGGTGTCTCTTTTTTAATACATCTGAATTAGAGAAAAGCACCAACATTAAATATGAATCTCTTGGTTTTTGATGCTTGCCAGTCATAGAGTCGCTTGCAAATGTTTTTAGTATAAATTTCACTTCTGAACCACGAGTGTTTTGTTAACATCTGTCCTGCAGCAGATGATCAGTTTTATTTAGTGATTTATTTATGTATCATATTTTGGTGTGAAAACATAGTAGTCACTTGTGGGCTTTAATCTGCAGAAGGGATGGAGCAGAATGAAGTACAGTCAGTCACGCTTTGCACTTGAAAGGAACAATGCCATTAGTTCTTTGTTTTCTGCTGTAATCCTAGGTATAATAGGCAGAATGGCAAAAATAAATTGGGGTCTTTGTTGCAATTCTCCCTCTCTCAGCCAGAGCAATGCTTTCTCTCATGTATGTTGTCTATCAAATGTTTAAGGATCTTTTTGCATCAGCTGCTATACTGTTTCACTTTTTACTTCAGCTAAGCTCTCTAAACAGTTTGATGAGCATGAAAAACCATGCCAACCTGACAAATCCTGTTCTTCAGATTTTTCTCCTGATTGTGAAACACCACCATGGTAGCCATAATCACTTTTGGGACAATGGGAGCTGTTAGCCCTCTTATCACTGAATCATGGAATCACAGAATCATGGAATCATAGAATCAGAAAGTTTTGGATTGTAAAAAATCTTACAGATCATCTAGTTCCAATCTCCCTTCCATGGGCAGAGACACCTAGAATGACAAATCTGAGAAAAGCCATTACCTCATGGCTTTGCAAGGCATGGAACTTCATGGAGTTTTTTTTTCTCATAGTTTCTTTATTTCTTACCTCTTTATGATAATATGATCACAAAAAAACTTGTTATTTGATGTTATTTCTAGTGATTATTTTTAATCAGTTATGATCTTCTCTGCTGACAATCAGTTAAATGAAACTCACAGTAAGTAAAAAGGGAAATAAAGAGAACTAGCAGATAGTCCTGGTCATCCTGAATCCCTGACACTCCAAGTCTGACTCTTTTAAACATATCAGAAATGGATGGCTTGTCATGAGATGTATAATGGTGCAATGCTTTTATTAGCATGGGGTTTAAATAAACTGCATAAATTCTTGTGGTTATATCAGTAACAGAGTGATTCTAACAGATCTTCTTGGGGAGAGGCGGTGCTCAGGCATAAATGCCAACAGCCCCCAAAAACATGTATATATTCAATGAGAAACCAAGCACATTTTTGCTAAGATAGAAAAGTTTCAGGATTTGATATCACAAAATATATAGCCAATTGTTATCAAATTTCCAAGGATTCTTGGCTGACTTTGATCTAAAATTCTCATTCTAAATCCTGACAGCCATTTTTAGCTGCACTGTTTGTTGGTTGTATCACTTGCATTTCCCATGAGGCACCTCCATCAAGGTCGTAAATTCTCAGAAAGGCGAATGAATAAAAAAGCTTCTCCAAAGTCAGACTGACTTGATTGATAATATTCTTATTAATAATCTCAAAAATGAGAGTCATAGAATCATAGAATTCTGGTTTGGAAGGGACATCAAGGATCAGATGGGCCAATCTTTTCTGGAAAAAGCATGGCATGGAAAAGATGGCCCAGCTGAATCTTAAGTGTCCAGTGCTGGGGATTCCTTGGCAGGATTCCAGTGACAGATTATTCTCTTTCTGAAAAATTTAGTCTTCTGTCTAATCAGAATGTCCACAGGAGTAACTTGTATCCACAAGGAACCCATGAGGGAAGAAAACTTGAGTGAGGCACTAATAAATAACTTCACTTGTAAGGATGTGAACCCTGCATGAGAACTGAGATGTTAGAACTCTAGCCAAAAAGGTGATTTTGGTGCTCTGTTCAGTCAATAAACAGAAGACATTGTACCCATAACTGTATGTGTGGACAATAGGATAAATTATGCACTGCACAAATCCTTTCCAGAAGGAAAAGTTCAATAGTCCTTAATTTTGGTGTATTATGAGCAGACCTCTATGCCATTAAATATTTATATGTCCCTGATCAGTAATACACAAGTATGTCTTTTAAAATTTAAGGTCTCAGTGGTAGAAGACAGAGAGTAATTTATGGTTTTCTAGAGGAAAAATTCTTGGGTTCTACACAAAATAGAGTTCTAGTGGCAACCCAGTCATCATTCTCATATGTTGCATCTTTCTACCTGTATATGAATGTATTTATCTAAATAGATGTGTTAGATCAACTTTTCTTACAAGTAACCTGATTCTGCAAAGACTTATGCATATGCTTTATTTTATATGCCTGGTATGACCAAAACAATGTCTCTGGCACATATAGTATTCAGCCTGTGTGTTAATCTTAACAGTAAAGAAGATCTGATCTGACTTGATTACAGTGAGTTGGGAAATTACACCAAAATCTCCTGTTATAATCAGAAAATGTAGGTGAATTAAAATCAGATTTTCTCACAAGGGAGTATACACCATTTTCAAAGAAGCTGGAATTTCTGTTGATAGTGAGAATCTCCAAGACTAAAAGTTATCTCAAATAGGTAAACCCCTACTTGCCAAATCATGTTTGTTACATTAAACATCTTCACTAGACAAAGAAGACAGTGTGGGCCCTGATAAAGAAAAAAGTCACTAAATTACTGATGCAGGAGTATGTACTTGAGACTCAAATGCAGACTCTAACTCAGGCAAGAGAGGAACCTCAGCCTGGGAGATGAAAAAATGTTTTACATGAGGTGCTAAAGCTTTTAGACACGGCTGTAGACCACTCACAACTGTTAAATGTAGAC